CTACCTCATTTTCTGTTTCGGGTTGATCCTGAAGTGTCAAAGTGTCCTCGTTTTATAGCCATTTTCATTGTTTCTATAGAATAGTAGTTACTATCCTAGTGTCTCATTTTTATTTTACTTAGTTTACATGTTTTAATAATTGTAAAGCGCTTAGAGCTTTATGATAAGCGCTATATAAAAATGCCTAAATAAATAAATAAATAAATATAAAAACAAGTTTTGTTTATCACATACATTTCAGATTATGTTTGTTACACTTCTTTTCTTACCTTTTAAAAATTTAATTGAATTTTTGATGAATTATTTGAATTTGAAAGAACTAAAAAAATATGCTCTCGAAGTTTTTTTTGAGCGTTCTAGTCAAGTATCTTTGTAGACATGTATTTTTTAGTTTTTAATTATTCCTCGCACACTGTGTACAGTACTGGGCAACAACTGAATTCTTATTCTCCCAGTCTCATTCATCTTTGAGGTTCAAGTTCAGGTCCTTTCAGTTTCAATTTAACTAGCCTAAAAGTGTTTTTACCTTTAGATGACATCCAGTGCAGAGCTCCTGTAGCTGTTTTTTGCTATGACAGACAAAGGATGTGCTCAGCGGTGTGATTCAGCTGGTTTGCACCGGTTTAGCAGAACCACTATTTTTTTGTTGAGCTCGGCAAACCTGTTACAGTAATAGGCACATGTAATCAGGGTTCTCACTATCAAGAAGCAATAAGGAAACATGGTAAAACTTTTGTTTTTTTTCATTAATAAAATCTTATAATTATAAACATAATTTAATTTTCTGTACCTCCTTTATTGTTTTTTTTTTTGAGTAATTAAGGTCATTAGGGTAGCAAACCAGTTGTTAAAATGTTTGAATTCCACCACTGGATGTGCTCTGCAATACATATTCTGCTAAAAGAAGTGTATTTTTTGCAAGCTGTATGTGCCACTCCATGACTTTTTCATGCTTACTCTGATGGATTACAGTTTATCTCTGGGGTGTCTACTTCATGAAGAATAGTCTTCATTCCAAATATTTTATGGGCATAAGTGGCAATTAAGATAACTATTAAGCATATTATTTATATTTTACTGACCAAATTAAAAAAGTTTAGGAAAATATATACTTTCCCAAGGCCACCTACGACTGGACCACCACTGACATAACTTCAAAAAATGTCAGGTAAATCGTTTTTCTTGTTGAGCAGATTATGAACGATTTAAGTAAACTGTTTTGAGTGACAAAAGTTCTAATTTAATATTATTTTATGATCAAGTAGAAGAAGATCCATTGTTTTTAAAAAAAAATCTTTGTGTTATAACTCTGAACACCCATGAACAAGAACAATTTATTAAAAATTAAAGTGAATGACCATTTAAATGTTAGGTAAAGAGAAGCATCCAAGGAAATATGATTAGTATTTAGATGAAAATAAATTATATATACATACCGGTATATATAATTATTGCCATCCAAATTTAAAGAAAAATGTCCACTAATACCTTTTTTTTAATTTTTTTTTTTTTTCAGATGTGTAAGTAAGTGTAATATTATGCAAATGAATTATTTGATGATAAAAAAAGTAATACATGTATTCTATATAATTTATTTTCCTGCCATGATTTTTTCTTTAAATGTAATTGTATTAAATTTAATGAAGACTACATAATCATTATGTGCATGCTTATGTTATAAATTAATGTAATTTGAGGTATTCAGTAAAAAAAAATATATAATTATTGTGTGTAAATTATTTCTGTTATTGGGGTTGTGTAAGGAGGCCACTTACAAAACCTGCAAAGTAACTTCTGGTTAATTTTGATAAAAAGTGAAAAAGATGGGTTTTTTTAATTATCTTAATAGAGGGAATATAACATTCAGTTTTATGTGATGATGAAATTTTAATTTTAGACTTACATGAGGCTTTAGATTTACGAAATACTGTAGAGTGACTAAGTTCACTTGTTGGATCTCAGAAAATAATTACAAATATGCCATTCACAGGGGCATGTACAAGAAGAAGACTATTCATGCTAGAAATACTTTTGAGTAAAATAAAGAAATAACTATTAATATCGTTTACAATCTACAGACTTTTAGCTGTGCACTTGGTTATTTTTTTCTGGTACAGATAATTAAATTTTAATTACATTGTCATACTAGAACTCTGCACAAGAGGAAAAGAAAATCATTCCAAAAACATCCATTATAATTATAGTCTTTGCAGTCAGCTTAAGGAATTTTTTTTTAAAAAGATAATGCAACACAATTATTCTTTGAATGTTATGTAATTACTACAAAAAGTATGCATTAATTCATGATTATATGTTAGTTGCACTGAAAAATTCTATGTTACAAATATTCAATTTATTTGACTGTCAATAATATAGTTAACTAATCTAATTAAAGATACACTGCCATTTTTTGATAATAATGAACCTAAATAAACACATATTTTACTTAGTAAACTTAGTATTTGTGTGTGGATTTTTTTACGATCTGATTAAGTTGTATACAATAAAAACAAATCTGATCCTAGTTGCAGATTAGTTGCTTTTAATTGAAAAAACAATTATCAAATCAAAGGAAGATGCAGCTGGGACATTATTACAAACCAATTGTCAAATCGGTTTTTAGTGAAACCAATGTTTTAGTTTTCAAAACTTAATACTCATTTTCAAATTAGTAATTTCTACTCTGCTTCAGGCGCAGTTGTTTCCTCTGCATGATTGTGAGAATATTCCTACGATATTCTTCAGTGGCATCTTTTATGTTCTCTTTCTTCTTCCGTCCAGACATATACAACAAATCTTTCACCATCAGTGTGTTGACATTGTTTTTAGGCAAAGAAATTAGACAGCCATTTTTGTCAACTTTGATGGAGGCTGTTTTGGATTGCTTGGTCTGATGAGGTTTGATTAATTTTTTCATTTCAGTTGTATTTTTAGAGTTACACTCTGGCTCCTCTGTTTGCTGAAAAGCTGTGTCTGACATAAGCTGATCACTAATGGGTGATGCATTAGAAAATCGCTCTTTCGGACTTGTATTTCTAATAGAGGAGGGATTTCTTCTCACCTGAGACTTTTGGCATTTGATATTTAAAATTTCATTAATTTTTGTAGCTTTAGATTTTCTGGGAATAGCATGACTATCTGGTTTCTCAATAGTTGCCCTTACTTTCTTAACGGTCTTACTTTTTTTTTGTGTCTTGCTTTTCTGGAGTGAAATTAAAGAGCTGTTTTTGTAGCTTTGTAGGTTTCTTTGAGGCGCAGATGAAAAATCTAAATGAACTTGAGTTTTACTAATGACTGCTCTTTCAGTTGAATCAGAGAGTGATGCATTTGGAGGATACATTGCATAATGTATATTATCAACTGTAACATATGCACCATCTGCAAGAGTTTCTGGCCCAGAAATATCAAGATGATTAATTGTATTTAGATGAGCAAACTTTTGATGTATTTCATTGGAATCACTTGTTATCAAGAACTGACTGCTATTTTCTTCAATTTTATCATTAAAAGGCACAGGGGAGCGTTCAGTGCTTTTCTGTGGGGAAAGTGTTCCAATTTCAATAACACATTCATAATCAAAATTGTCAGAGTTGTTTTTGCTTTCACTTGTGCTTCCTGAAGTTTCTTGTGGTTGTTTCAGGTTGCTTACTGACGCATCAATGGCACTGTTATCATTGTCAGCAGTAGAAAGATCAGCAAAAATATTTTTTGACTCAGTGTCGAAAAAACGTTTGCATTCAGTGTTAACAAAGTCATCAGAAAGAAAATGTGTGTCCAAATCCTTCACGATATCTCCCCAAAGTAAATCATTTTCCATAAAGTCAGTTTCGCCAACAGTTAATAAGGTGGCGAGGAAATCTGTTGAATTTGGAATAAGTTTGTTATTTATTTCTTTGTTTCCTAAGGTTTCAAAAGTCTGTGACATTTGCTGGGGTTGTTCTAGAAAATCCATGAGATCATCAGCAATCGGTAAACTGAATTCAGAAGTGTCAAGAAACTCAGAACTAAAGCATAGGTTGGCCCCAAGGCCATCACTCATAGAATCAAAATTTATTTCCTCATCCAAGGTTTTGCTTTCATCCCAAGCATGTGAATCAAACATCCTACTAAAATTTTCATTTCCTCGACGTCTAACATTGTCAATCGATGGTTTGTTGTGTAGGGCCTGATGAGTATCTTTACTCTTACAATTAGAGTAAAGATGAGTTTGAGGAACTTTGATGGAATTACAAAACTGGTTATACACAAGTTCAGAATCCATTATATTCAGTATAATAGGATCAGCATAATTTGAATCCTTGCTTTCAACAGATTCAGCATCAAAATCAATATCATCCATTTCTTGCAGCTGTTGATAAAAATGTTGAATTTAAGTGAATATCAAATAATAATTAGCTTTAGCATTCAGTTGAGAAAATTATGAATTAATAAACACTGATAGCACGCAAAATAAATCAGAATATTTCAATACAAATCAAAAACATTCTGAAGTCAGTGATAAGCTTTCAAGCAAGTTTAATTTGGGGCCTCTGATAAAAGGCATCCACAAAATTCTCATTCTTTAACCTCCCCCCATGGTGTAACTAGGGTTAGCGTTATCAGGGTTGGGCCAAGATCCCCCCCCCCACTCCCCCAAACAAAACAAAAACTTTGTAATTGACAGAAAATGCCCCTCAATATAGACAAAAATGTGCCACCTAGGCTCTGCCCCACTCATCTAAATGCCACTGCCTCCATCATATCCCCTGAGTTACAATAAGCACCCTTCTTAAATGCATCTCTACTTCATGTAGTTTTGGTTCAACACATGAACAAGTTATCAATTTGTTTTGATTCGACATGTGAATTTACAGCTTACGTTAAATCATTTCCTACCTTTATTTTGCACAGGTGATATGTTGTTTTGAGGATTGGGGGGGCCTGAAAAGAGTGGGGGTAAAAACATGTTTAGGATTAATTCAAATGCCATCTTCAATTTTTATATAAGAAAAGGAAAACTCAAACTCTGGTATCGGTACACATTATTCTCTTTGTCCTTTGCTTTTTAGCCTCAATTTAGGAAAGCATGATTAACTGAATAGTGACATAATTGTTTTATCTTGAGTCTGAGAATTGTTTTTCCAATCTAACGCATGTCAATACCATGCATTAAAATCTAACTCCAGAATCCATAGCTCTACAGGAGTTGCTATGAATTGAGGTGGTACCAGGCAATATTGAAAAATATGATTGACTAGCTAATATATCTAACTTTGCCCATAATTATTATTGCATTCAGAGATCTAGCCTATTCAAGTCTTAACCAGCCCCCCCCCCCCACTCAAAGCCATGAATGTAATGGGTATTAGTTTTAAATCTTACAAAATTTCATTATCAATTATGAAGGGTATGGCTACCAAGCTTTGCCTAGATCCATCAATTCAGGTAGAAGTCTGTTTTGTAGCTTACATATATTTATAAAACTTCTGGAAAAATGAAGTTGGGGCCCCCGGCAACATAGAATAGATTTTCTTAATTTTAATGTCTTTCCTAAAAAATAACAGCACCATCAAGAGATTCTGGCTCCTGTTATCAAACAACCTAAGACTAAGAGATCAAAAAGATCCCAGCTGTCAATGTTGAAGAGTGTTCACTACTTCGCCCCACTGTGACTTTCTTATGTTGACTAAAACTGTCCTGTCTGTCTTAGTGATAGTCTACTTATAATTAAGAGGTTACAGGTCAGTGGTGTAATAATTAGACCTGTTTATGATCTAATCTTCTCAAGTGTAAACAGAGGGATCAATGGTGTTGGTGTCAACCTATGCGGTAGACTCATGATGCATCCCTCAAACCTGCACCAAGTAATTCTTAAAACAGATATAACAGAAACACTTGCAGTACTGTTTATAAATTAAGTTCTGAAGCAGCAAAAAACAAAAGAAGAAAACAGAATTAGAGGTAACAACCATGTTTAAAAAATACAACAAAATGGTTTTTTTATTGATACATTTAAACTTAACAGTTGAAGCTTTAACTTTAATTTCCTGGTCTTCAAAAACACAAACATTTCATCAAAGTCAACATCTTTCTACTTATCACTTTTAATTTAAAAAATTTGCATGACCAGAAAGCCTGGGCTGTTCCATAGTAGATTGCAAAAAGTTATAAGTTTCTATTTTGAAAAGCTCCTCTCACATGAAGCCACAAGCACACAAATTGTGATAAATAAGTGTTAAGCGTTGGTGAATAATAGGATTGAGAGAGATTCCTAGTCCTTATCTGGTAGTACTTAGCTCCGGTGGCTCCCTTTTCTGTATGGAGAGACCCTGTTATGGTGGCACCCTGCTCTGATGACAATATGTTCCACTGACACCAAGATCTGGTGGGCGTCCTGTTTGATTGCAACCTACTCTGATGAGGCCCTGCTCTGTCTGGTGACACCCTGTGCTGCTGGTACCCTTTTCAAGTGGCACTCTGTTCTTGTATTTAATTGAGCTCTGTTATAAAACTGACTCACTCATGTGAACTCTTGTTAGGGGCCATGCATATAAATTCATATATATATATATATATCACCAAAAAAAATTTTTTTTGACTCCCCACCAATTATAAAGTTATGTAATATATCATTTCCAATTACAACCCCCCTCCCAATATGACAAAATTTCTAGCAACGCCCCCCCCCCCCTAGAGATACACACAGTCACATGCTTATTTTCACCCAGTGTTTATGTAAAATATCATTTCCAATTACAACCCCCCTCCCAATATGACAAAATTTCTAGCAACGCCCCCCCCCCCTAGAGATACACACAGTCACATGCTTATTTTCACCCAGTGTCTCCTGTCTTCAAAAGAAAGCAGTCAACAGGAATGTCATCAAAGTTGCCAGGTTGTGCCAGACAAAAATGTCATTAAAGTTTAAGGTCCAAAAACAAGCAAATTTCAAGCATAAAGCCAGATATAATATTTTTTTTACTAGAAATGTGATTGTAAGAGTAAGTTTTTTTTTTTTTTTTTTTTTTTTTTTTTTTATAAAAACCACTTTTTTTTTTTTTTTTGAAATTTGTTTTTAAGTGTAATTTTTTTTTTTTTTTTTTTTTTTGTAAGCATAAAGTCCACTTTTGTTTATAATGATCAAGGCAGGCTAATTTAATAAATTAGAAAGCGATAAGGGCTAAGTTTTGCATTTTATTAAAATCATAAAAACAACACTCCCCCAACCCATATAACACAATTCAATATAACAAAATGATAAATTGATAAAGCACCTCCACCTCCACCATAACATTATAATATATAATATGCGGACAGTACCTCAGATTTACATTTTCCATTGCCATTTTTATTTGGTGTCTCCCACGGGTAATGCATCCCCCCCCCCCTCTTTTTTTGAAACTCCCCTTAGCCCTAGGCCTAGCCCTAGTCATGCCCCTGACTCTAACCCATGCCCATGCCCATATAAATCATACATGACATATTAGATATATTTGATGGATCGACCCTAAAATTAACTACAAAAAAACTCTTAATTATTTGATAAATTGATAAAGCACCTCCCCCCCCACCATAACATTATAATATAAAATATGGGGACAGTACCTCAGATTTACATTTTCCATTGCCATTTTTATTTGGTGTCTCCCACGGGTAATGCATCCCCCCCCCCCTCTTTTTTTGAAACTCCCCTTAGCCCTAGGCCTAGCCCTAGTCATGCCACTGACTCTAACCCATGCCCATGCCCATATAAATCATACATGACATATTAGATATATTTGATGGATCGACCCTAAAATTAACTACAAAAAAACTCTTAATTATTTGTAGACTACGACTACAAGTAGACTAACCAGTCGGCACAGTAGAGGTTAACTGTACTGTAGACACTATTAGACAGTGTTGTGTAGACAGTCAGAGTCAACTCAAACTCAAAGTAGCAAAGAAAGTGCGAGTGAGAGTGTGACATACATACAGTTACAGTACACAGTTACACAGTGAGGTCAGCGACATGATTACACAAAAAAATAGTTTACTCATTATATACTTTTTGTAAACTGCAATTATCAATATACATGGTTTACCTTTCAAAGATGTATACTCAATGTGCGCCGATTAGATTAACTTAAATTTACAATTACTGCAATCATGATACAATTACAAAGTTAACAGACTTAAAGCCTGATGCGCACGCTCACAATGCCTATTTTGCTTTTTATTTTAGAGAGCTAAGTTAAAAATCATCAATTAAATAAATCGCATTATTGTTATAAATTGATCTTAAAGTGTATCAATTTTTAAGTATAAATAATTTAAATATGGTTACGGTTGGTGCGTCAAGAAGGGCGGACCGAGGATTTTTCCACTGTATATAACAGGATATCTATAATTTTAAAATGAAATCCAAATATGAATGAGTTTCTTCGACTGAAAAGTGTTCAAAAGGTAGCAAGTAATACAATTAATATTAATCATAATTGCTTGGAACTGGTTGCTAAAATTGGCAGAAATTTAATTTTAAAAATTCAACAAGATGGTTTAAGTAGTGTCATCCTCAAACTTATTCATCATATTCCGACTTTATATTATATTAATGATTTTTGTAAAACCCCTTTCCCATAGAGGAGGAGCAACTTCTGTGGAACTACACTAGGTGAGGCGGCGGGAGACACCATGAGTTTACCACGCTGGTCGACACCAATCTCAGTGACACCACCATTGAGTTTATATGTACACATAAAATAGTGGGAATGTGAGGGCCCGGAGGGTGGGGGGGCTAAGTCACACTTTCCAAAATTTAGCTAGTCTTAGTTTCCATAACGTTAACTATACTATATAAGGGACCTAGGTCTAACTCTTAGTTTCTATAACTACATAGGTCCAGCTTTTAGTTTCCACAATGTTAACTTCATATGTCTAACACAATGTTAACTACATAGGTCTAGCTATTAGTTTTTTTTTATTTCAGACGATGTCCCCCGGGCTTAAAAAAAGAGGGAGGGGGGGTGTTCAAATTTCCTGGTGGACAGTAGCGCAGCTACGAGTGGGCAGAGAAGCAGACTAGCGGGGGCGTCAAAATGGGCTTTGGGCACTTTGGGTGAAAATAATGTATTTATATGTGTGTATCATCTAAACATAAATTTCTGACTTAGCCACTTTTGAAAATGTGCTTTTTTAAAAATTTTATTTCATGTGATTTACTTTGAGTTTTACTTACGTTTGACTTAACGAGATACGAGATGAGATACGAATCCTACCTTACCTGAAGATTGCACCGTGTTGCGTATTTAACTTTTATTTATTTATTTTTTTTTTTTTAAACTATAGAACCAGAACCATTTTTAAAATAGTAAAATAATTTGGGTGGCCCTAAAAAGGGCCTTGAAAAAAAATTATGAAAAAAAAAAAAAAAAGTATTACTTCAGATTTCGCGCATGTGTATCGGACCTATGCGCTCATTTGCGCCTTTTCTTGGCACAGAACACTATCAGCTGTTTGCCGCTCGGGACCTTCATGTTGGAGATTTGCTTGATGACCCGACGCCGGTCTCCCTGAATCAACCCGGGATGGCGTCTCCTCCTGCCGCATGTCCTGCCGCGTCTCCTGCGGCAACGTCTCCGGCGCCTCCGACACCGGCGCCTGGACCGACGCCTCCGACAACGGCGCCTCGACCGACGCCTCCGACAACGGCGCCTCGACCGACGGCGGCGACCGCAGGACGCCCGATTGCGGACGCCTCTGGGCTGATCGGCTTTGCTTTTAGAGTTCCACGAGAACAGGAATCTCCCCCGGGAGCCCTGGGGCCGGCTCAGCTTGTTGGCCCTGAGCGCGGCCAAGATGGCGGGTTTGATGTCAACATCCTTGCTGATTTGACTCGTGGATATCAGGTATTTTTTTATGTCTTTCGCCGTCGACCCGCGAGGATCTTGGAGTGCGACGATGG